GAGAGGGGGAGGGGGTGAACACACCCTCACCACCACTTTCCCAACCGCACGTACAATGGCAAAACGTGCGGTACATAAAAAACCCAAAAAAAAAAAAAAGATGTTTCATCATTCACAAATAAACTAAATAATATTGTCCACCCTTGGCAATAAAACTCTATTTTACTCCCTTCGTATAAGCTGCGATTCCATCCCCTTCCCCCCCTCTCGCTTCATTCAAATCTCTAAAAAAACCGTCTCTCCCACACAAACACCTTTTCTCTCTCTCTCTCTGTTTCTCTCCCGTGTAGCTTTAAGTCGCAACAACAACAAAAGAATGACGCCGGTGTGGTGTTGGTACTGTGAGATAATAACGCACACGCCTCATCTCAATTTAAAAGGGAGTGAGACTGCAGCGGGCAGGTGAATGCCCGCAATGTAAAGAAGATCTTTTCTGTTGTTCTCCACGAAACCAAACAAGAAGAATGAAATGGTGAAACAAAAAAAAAAAAAAAAGACACACACAAAAAAAATCGTTTGAAGAAAATTTTAAAAAGTTGTACGTTTGTTGTTTTGTTTCTCTTTTTTTTCTTTCGTGCCTTTTTACGGTTTTGGAAAAATCTGTTTTCACCCACGCCTTTTTTTTTTTTATTCCTTCACGTCATTCCCTCGCATGCATGCGTACACGTGGATCACGTGCATTCCTCTCCTTTTGTAAGAATTCACAAATAAACGTCTTTCAGACAAGAAAAAAAAATTCCTATTGTGTGTGTGTGTTTGAGTGGGTTAGAGCTTCCCTTTTTTTTTCTTTCTTGTTGCTGTTCCCATTGAACCATCCATAAATAGCGGTGATCGTATTGGGTTTCTTCTCCACATGCCCATGAGGGATAAAGCTTGTGTCATACCTATTTGCAGAGAGGGCGTAGATCGCCACTTCATTTGACACCGTGAACTTCAGATTCCCTCTTTTTCCTGCTATTCTCATACAATAACACCTTTCTTTTATCCACCACCCCCACTGGACTTTTCCTGCCGCTCCTCACAGGCGCCAAAGCTGTTTTTCTGCTGGTGCTACATCGTCTACCAAGGTGTTTCGCATTATTGTCTTGCGAGGGCCAACTACTGGGTAGAATGAAGTCGCCCAATCTGGCAAGCGTTGCTTCCGTGTCACTGATAGGATTTGCACCACTACTAAACGGAGCGGATCCTCCCACGGGATTTAACTTTTGACTACTCACAGGCTCCTTGGAGGAAGAAACCTTCGCTATTTCCACATCCCTGGATGCGTCCGTATTCAACGGGGGAAGGAAGCCTCCAGAGTGCCCCTTCAAACGTGTATTGGGGGGTTGCGTCCGTTCTCGCGTTGGTGGTGGAGCCTCATCACGCATAGGAATGAGGGAGGGGACAATAACACGTGGTGGCACCAGTGAGGGCGGCATGACGCGACCCTGCGTGATACTGGAGAGCCCACCATCGGAGGAGTACCCAATCACACTTTCGCCGCCAGGAGAATTCGCAAGTTCTTTCCTCTGAAGCCTTGCACTAATAGCTTTCGGGGGACTGAGGGTGCGTGGTTTATCCCCCGGGTTTCCTGCAAGCCGCTCCCCCTTCAATCCACATCCACTAACATCATCGCCCGCAAACACTCCGCGCGTGACTTCAGGGGAAGCAGAACTCCCGCCATCGCCTTTGCTTCGCGGCGAGGGAAAGACTGGATGAAGCAGCGGCACATATCCACTGTCCGGTCGCACACCACGAAGTAGCAATTCCTCCTCCCACGTAATGCTTGAAACCCGCGATCCCACCCCCGCAGTAACCCCCTCTAACGTCCGTTGCTGCGCAAACATCACTTACTCGGTGGTGACAATTATCACCGCCTTCAACTGTGAAAAAAACCACAAGAAAATCCACAAGCGCAATAGCAATAATAATAATAATTGGAAGTACAAAGTCGGTTGGTGCCAGAGTCTAAGCTGAAAGGACAGCAACACGGCAAGCACAAAGAAAAATCAAAAATGAAGAAGCAAACACACATCGTAAATCCCTCGGATATTCACGATCGTTTTGTTTTGTTACCATATGTATTATACATGAGTCCTCTCACTGTGAGAAAAACAGGAAAGAATTTGGTTTAAAAGGCGCTATAGCTTGCAGCTTCCTTTTTTTTTTTTTTAAACATCCTCCTCGTCTTCTTCCTCTTCCTCGGCCTTTGCGCGCCTTCGCGCCTCTCGGCGTTTTTCCCTCTCAATCCGTCGCTTCTCACGTCTCTTTTCGGCGTCATACTCACGCAAAAGCTCGTTTCGCCGCACCACCGCGTTTTGGAGAACAGCCTTCCATTTTCTCATGGAACTTCCCGTCGCGATAACTCGGGGAGCGTCCACAACGTCGTCTGAAATCCTTACACATTGACCCTGGACAAAAAACATCATACATGGGGTGCTGCAGACTTCAAGGAAGGTTAGCAGTTCCATCAAATTATCATAGGCCTGCTTGTGGAGCTGCTTTTTTTGCAGCCCTGTGGGTTGTCGGTTGGTCGCAATGAATACCGGGTCCTTTTGAAGCAGTCTCGTTATGTCCGTCTTCTCCTCGGGCACTAACGCCACGTGAAAGTAACGCACAAGGCGAGTTTGGGGCTCCTCCGAAAGGACAAAATTATCTTTCACAAAAGGCAACACGTTCGCACTAAATGGGCATAAAAATGATGTAAAAACGAGGGCACATAGGCACTCCTCCTCTGCCGCAACCGACGCTTGAAACTCCTCCATACAGCGCACGGGTACAAACCGCTTGCTCATCTCGTCCACGGAGGACTCATCACTATCTCGATCATAGTCCGACATTGTGACTGACCCCCACCGGGTATGGAGCCCTTCTTCTTATCCCTCTCTATCCGTGAGGTTTTCTCCTTACCGCCCTCTCTAAAGCTCTATCCTGCGCCCACCCAATCCCTCTCGCAGGCCGAAGAAACCCCTTTGATGGAATGCGTCCGCCCACTTTTTCTCTCCCTTCTCCCCCCGCACAGATCATACAACCAAAAGCACAAACGCAAAAAGAAAAAAAAAATAAATAGAAACCCAAAAAAAAATAGAAGCACATCGGCGTAAAAAACCTCAGTTATTTAAGATTCAGCCCATTGCACACGCCCCATCTCACTTTGTTGATTAAATCGCCTTACGATTCATGTTTAACTGCCGCCTAACATGAGTTACACGCCTATTCTTCTCTTTTCTTTCTTTTTTTTTTTTTTTTTTTTTTGATGTCTCTTGTCATGAGACTCAAAATTTATTTGAGAGAAGCCACCGATGCCTCCGTGGGGCGGAAAGGAGGCACAAATGTGGGTGGAGAAAGATTCCACTTCCAAGTCATCATCGCCACCGCAAGTGAGATTTTATTTTCGCTCCCGCGGTCTAAAACCGTGGCCGGCGTTTGCGCATGGTGTACTTGGAGTCGTCCGTCGTGGGGAGGCCAAACTTGCGCCTTTCAGATTTCTTAAGCAGCACCCATTCTTTCGTGCCTGTGACGGGACGATTGTCCTTCCGGCGCCTCTTGCGAGCCGGACCGTCGTTGTGAGAGCGGGAACGTTTCACACGCACGCGACCACCCACACGAGCCGTCATATATTGTTCATCACCCTCCTCGTCGCTGAATGAGGCTTCATCCTCTTCATCACTGTCATGAACGTCAATCGGCAAACGGGGAACAAACCCACCCGCAACTTGACCGGCCTGTATCACCAAATAATGTTTTTTCGCCTTGGCACTGTGTGGGAAATCTACCACCACGCCACCCGTAAAACCGCATAGCATGGCGGCACGCGTGATCATGTGCACTTGTTCAACATTGCTTGGGTAAAACTGAAGAGCGGCCTTCGCGCCTCGATGGAGTGCATTGTAAAGGGATTGAAACAGCGCACGTAGGCGTCGCTGTGGCACATGTCCGCGACAGTCACTTTGACAAAGCCACTGCACCGCTGATATAGAGACTGCTCCGTCAAAGGACCCGGGACGAAACGGCAAACCCTGACCCATGTCTCCACGCAGAACCTCAACCATTGAAGGGCCCGTCATCGTACCAGTATTTTCTTCATTGCCATCCTCATCCTCATCCTTGTCGTCGTCGTCCGATTCCGTAATAAGACCCCACTTCACATTTTTAAGATCATTGCCAGGATTACATCCACCACATTCTTTTAAGCCATCTTGCCCATCACTATGTGAATCCTCTTCCTTTCCCACCTCAGAT